GGAGAAATTTGGACCCTGATGCCACACCTAAGATTTATCGAATGACAAGAGTTACGTTTGGAGTTATGTCTAGTCCATTCCTTGCCATCTGCACTACTCAAGAGCACGCAAGGAGGTGTCAAGAAACATTCCCTGAAGCATCAGATGAAATCCTGAGGAACACTTATGTTGACGACTTTGCGTCAGGGAAAGATACTCTGCGTGAAGCCGTACGGTGACAGCAAAGTTCAAAACAGCTTATGGAGCAAGCAGCTTTCAATTCGACAAAATGGTCCAGCAATTTGCCCGAGGTTATGCAAGCCATTCCTGAGAAAGATAGAGCATACTGGGAATGCATCCAGTTACGAAAGCTTTAGGTCTAAAGTGGAATACGAGAACAGACAGCCTTGTCTTTATGATTGAATTAGACTCTGAAATTGAAATCAGAGACATTGTACACTAAGAGAAAACTAGCTTCTTTAGCAGCGAAGATCTTCGATACCATCGGTCTCATCTCGCCTTTTACAGTAGGGTCAAAACGTTTGCTTCAGCGTCTGTGGACCCAGGGTGAGTTACCGGAAGAAACCTCTAGGAAGTGGGTTCAGTGGGTTCAAGAGCTTTCAGAGCTTTAACAGCTTCACATTCCAAGAAGTTACAGTGATTGGCTTTTAAGCCAGATGCATCAGAAGTTGCGTATGCCACCGCCATCTATATTAGAGTTGCTCCCAAAGAAGGGAAGGCGTCTACAAGCCTTGTGATGTCTAAGACAAGAGTTGCTCCTGTTCGAAAAATTACGTCTCCCTTGCTTAGAGCTAATGGCTGCAGTGATAACTGCTCGACTGTGTATCTACGTTTAAGATGCAATTGACTGTCCTATTACCTGTATTGTCTGTTGGACGGACAATTCTTCCCCCTTACACTGGATCAGAGGATAAGCCTCACAGTGGAAACCATTTGTTGCTTACCGTGTCATGGAGATTCAGTCACTGTTGGATCCTAGTGTTTGGAGATATTGCCCAGGGTCGCATAATCCAGCAGATCTACCTAGCCGAGGCTTATCTGTCAGCCACCTTAGAGAGAGTCAGTTGTGGTGGAAAGGGCCCTCTCAGTTGCAAGAGTTAAAAAGGATGGGCCAAAGGATTTAAGATCCAAGTCTCCAAATGAAGCAGCACAAGTGGAGAGGAAGAGTAAAGCTTTTGGCAGCTGTGTTGTCCAAACTAGAGAACCGTTTATTGACTACGCCAGGTTCAGCAAGTACAGCCGATTGTTAAGAACTGTTGCATGGATCAGAAGATTCATTCGGAACTCGAAGTTGAAAGAAGAAGAGAGACTTCCAATTTCTTTAACTGGACTAGAGATACGAGAGGCAGAAGAATGGCTGATAGCCCATGTACAGCAAACAAGTTTTGACGAAGTAGCTTCGTTGGCTAAACATGGTGGTCCCTTGAAGGACAGTAAGCTGGCAAATTTAAATCCATTTCTGTGCTCTACTAGTGGCTTACTTCGCGTTGGAGGAAGAATTCATAAGTCTTCATTACCGGAAGAGGAGAAGCATCCCATTATCTTGCCTTGCAACTATCCTGTTGTGAAGCTCCTGATTGAAGATGTTCACTGCCGTGAACTCCACGCTGGCGTTGAGTGTACTTTATCAGTCCTACGACAGAAATTTTAGTTGATCAAAGGAAGATCAACAGTCCGCCAGACGGTAAAGAACTCCCTAGTTTGTCGCCATTACCACACAAAGCCATCTATGCAGAAGATGTAACCGCTTCCTGAAGACAGGATCAAACCTGCACCGCCATTTACTGATGTTGGTTGGACTTTGCTGGTCCATTGTTTTTAAAAGACAGTGGCGAAAAGGCTTACATCTATCTATTTACCTGCCGGGTTACCGTGCAATACACTTAGAGTTTAGTGAGCAACATGACTGTGGAGCGGTTTCTCCTTGGCTTAAGACGAATGGTGGCAAGAAGAGGAATGTGCAGTATTATTTGGCCAGATAACGCCAAAACATTCAAGAGTGCTAATAAACATTTGCAGCAATGCTGGAGAGTACTTGAAGCTGACAAAACTCAAGTCGCATTGTCTGAAAGGAAGATTCCGTGGAAGTATATCGTGGAGAGATCCCCATGATGGGGTGGATCTTATGAACGTCTTGTAAAGAGTGTCACGACACCTCCGAAGAAAATCTTTGCCAAAGCAATGTTGGATGCTGAACAGCTGATCACCATTTTAGCTGAAATTGAGGCACAGCTGAACAGTCGTCCTCTTACTTACCTTAGTGCAGACCCTGGGGACTACAGCGTGATTACTCCTGCTCAGATTCTCACTGGGAGAAATCTTCAAGCGTATCCCGCTAAGGACACCCGTGTTTCGGAACACACTTCTAGAGCCATCACTAAACGTTTACAGTATCATAAAAAACTTGTCAATGGATTTTGGAAGCGTTGGCATGCTGAGTACCTGAAGTCTTTGATACCCCTCAAGAAATGGTTTACAGTTGGTCGCGAGATACATAAAGGTGACTTGGTCCTTGTTAGCGAAGAGAACTTAGCTCGAGGTCAGTGGCAACGTGCGCGCGTGGAAGCCACCCATCCTGGTCGTGATGGTCTTATCCGATCAGTTACCTTGCGATTGACATCTGGAAGTCTTACCCGTCGTCCAGTGCAGCGGCTACACCTTTTTGAAGCCTGTGATGCTGATCTAGCTTCTGAACTTGATTGAACTGAGAAAGGAATCTTGACAAATATTGAGCTTGATGAAAACATTATTGATCAATTTAAAGATGCATTCCCTGCATCGGACGGGAGGATGTTCGGAACTGAAATTTTATTTTCTGTTAGATTGTTCGGACTCGTGGGAACTAGGCCCTAAGTTAGTCTTCAGGGGCTCGGACCCCCCTTTGGTTTTTTTGACATGTGTTTTTTCGCTTGCGTTGTGAATTCTTGTAGTTTGTTCATCATGTTTATGTTTCGTAAATAGAGTTGATTTATGCAATAAATCGTTTTATTCAGAGGGGATTAATTGTGCAGCATTGTACACTTGAATCCTGGTGAGATTGTAAATTTACTTTCATTTTTCGAGGTTTGCTGGCGTGTGGGAAAATTTTTTTTCGAGGAGAATATTTACTATTGTTGCTGAGTATCAAAAAGAATGTGGAAGCTGGTGATGCAAACGTGGGCTTTCCGTTGTTAAAGTGGTTTGTGCAAACTGTTTTCTTGTCACTGACCTGGAAACCTTCCGGTCCTTTTGAAACAATTCTGACCCACTGTTCTCGCTTTTCGGGGGTTTTTGGGAAAATGATACCACCTAGTCTCCTTCTGCATGTCCCTTTTCTTCGACTTTTCAGGATACCTTGACTTATTGTCGCAGCCCCTAGCACAGCATCGATATACTGGCATAATTGAGCAATTTTTTCGAAACCTGATTCGTATTCTGATTCAGTTTTGGTTTATCTAAGCAACTTGACTAACATAATAATGACCTCCACATTGTGGACTTCTTCAAATTCCAAAAAGATGCTTACAAAACACCTGAACGACGCGAGACGATGCAAAAAAATGATGCAGACGTACACAGAAACCTAATAACCGTGGCGGCCATATTGTTTCCCCATTTTAAGGGGGCTTGTTGACTTTATAAGTTTAAACAGTATCCTGGATGCATAGTTGGACTGTTATGTGGTTGTAGTTTGAGACATTACAGTTGGTGATAAACTGCCACGTCCTTAATTTGCATAAATGTTTTCTTTTGAGCTCCAGGTGTTAGTGCAAAGAACCTTGTCCTGGTTCACTGTTTGTTTTTTTTCGTTATCGTTGCTGTTTAGAAAACTCCAACAAATCTCACTCACCGTCTGGAGAAAAAGTAAAGTCTAATTGCAATAAATTGTGCTGTACGTCCTTGCCCCATTTACTATCATAGTCTAAGGGAGTAAATTTGGGTGGCACTTGTTCATATTTTGAAAAAAATGTCTGAAAATAATGACTGTTGGAGAACTGTGTCCATTATTGTCATTATCTGTAAAATGAACACCATAATACTGGTAAAGATAACATAATGATGTAACTCATACTCCTCAACAATATTTTTAGGGCTGTCCTTAAATTAAAAGCTCTTTTTCTGTAAAATAACTTAGTACAACTAGATTGCAATTCTGGCAGTTCTTGAATCCTGGCAGGCACGTATTTAAAATGAAGTGTTGAAAGGCTAGAACAACACACACGTGATAGTTTGAAACGTGACCTTAAGATCAGCTTGCACATCAGAAGTTTTCCTTCTTTTCTTTATTTCGCATAATAGGTTTATATGCAGTGCACGGAGAATCTAAACTCTGACTGTTTATTGCAGCTAAATGACCTTTTGATGAATATTTTAGTTTCATAGGTTTCCTCCCGTAGATCAGAATAGCAACATGCGTGAAGCTTTTTGTCTGCGAATGTGATGATTTCCCGTTATGCTGGTGGTCCTAAACATGAGAGTCAAAGTTCTCCTCCTCCAATCGCTTTCCTTAGAAACGGAAAGAAGAACTTCTCTCTTAACTTTTGGAAAATTAGGCAACTACTGGGGCAATTTTTACTTGGATGCGGAGGTAAATATAAAAAATAAAACTAGGTATGCATATTTCATGACCAAATCCTACTGTAAATAGATTTTGAGAGCGAAATAAAATTTTCAAATTTTGCCGGTGCATATACCTTAATGATATTAATGATAATGTTTTTATATCACAAAAATCTCATCCAATAATTTCTTTTTTTTTTTTCTAGCGTCTCTCCAGGAGACTCTCTAATGTTATCTTACGTCAGTCTCAGGCCAGTGAGGCTTAAGTATGGAAAACGCGTGTACTAAAACTCCCTTCGCCAATAAAGGTCATCTAGTTAATGCCAATAATAATGTCACCAAAATGTATACTGTAATTAAAGCACTATGTGCGATGCCTGGGTCAAAAATCCTCAAATGTAGTTGCCCTTAGACTTCTTAGACGTTCACTGTTTATATTATGAAACGCAACTTCAGCTTGACTACGCTGTCTTGGGTCGAACTTTCATCTCTGCTATTTTTAAAGAATAGTCTAAGCCTCTCCAAGAACTCCAAACGACTCCTTGTGCATGTCCACCGCCCTGGTATAAACCATTTAGATTTGCGCAATGACAGTAGTTATACCACCAAGCTCCTGTATACTTCACCGCACAGTTTGAGCCATGAACATCGTTGTCTCGATCTTGGGTCGTGAACATCATATTTCTAAACAATAAAAGGAGTTTGATACAAATTTAAACAAGTTCATAGCTTATTGAAAATTTTTCCCAATTAATACACTATCGTTCATTCAAATATTTTGCCGTTTCTGAATTGCTTATAATTCTTCCGTTAATTTTTTTGTAATTAGCAAAAGGCTGACCAACTCAGCAAGATTTATTTCAATCGACCAATAATAGCAGTCATTATTCACTCAAAATATGTCTCCACTTCTGATTGGCTCATATCTCACCGCTATTTTTTTTTATAACCAGCTAGTGTTGACCAAATTTGGAGTTTGCGACATACGGAAAATGACGTCAATAGTACAGGGTAATCGCTAGAAAAGGGACTGCAACCGAGGAGCTCCGGTAACGAGGTTGCGTTGTTTGGGTAGGGTAGTAAAAAATGGTGGAATAACATTTGCCGTATTTCGTCCAAAAAAAATATCCGAACTACTGCCGAAAAACATAGCAAGAACACATCTCGACGGATGACATCTGCTATTTGAAGAATATCTGCTAAGAGTAAACATCTCTCTCAGAGAAACACTCAAATGAAGACGGAAACTTAGCGTCGATCCAGCACGTTTTAGCTTTTTTAAACTAGGTGTTATTTTGAATGAATAAAACAATTATTGGATTTGACTTTCGTAAGAACTGAAGAATTATACAGATCTAGGAGGGTGTTATCCCCTGAGGCCCAACCCTTCTTGATCTCCATCTCTCTCTTCAGATCACACTCAGCCTTATTCAATAACTACTAAATATTATGGAAGGTCAAGCAAAGACAGCGGCGCGCTGGCACAGTTGTTTTGGCAGTGCAAAATTTGACAAAACGTCAAAGGTTTCGAACACCTAGCGAGAAAGAAAAAAGAAAAAACTTGCATGAAAATACAAATAGCCAATCGAACAATGTCGACTTGTTCCGAATGAACAAGTGCAAGGAACGAAACAAATATCTTTTCGCATACTGAAATACCGTGTATTTAGAAAATGTTTGGAAGGAAATAGTCTACACAAGGGTAATGATACTTTATGAGCTTGGAAATACTTTAAGTGAATAATGGAACAATTCTGATAAAATACGGCCTTCTCGTGATATAAAGTTATGAAGATCGAGGCGGGAGTTATCCGCTTCAGTCGGTTTCGGCAGAATTAACAACCACCCCCTCCACAATCGATATGCGTAATTTTTCATATCCTCCCCATCGATACGCATAATTCTTCTTATTTTAATTAGCTTTATCTGAAAACAGTGATTGTTAACTGTTTTGCTATTACGTACTTAGCTGGCCTACCACACACGACCATCGAATCCCCCGCGGTGCCCTGATATCCGTCAATCGTCAGTCGATAGTTGTCGTTCGCGTCAGCTACAGAGACTGTCGTGTACTCGGCATATTTTCGCACACCATCGTAATCCTCCAAATCAACTCGGAGCATCATATTGACATTTGCAGTCAGACGGTGAAGATTATTATTCCCTAGCCAGAACTCCCCGTTCAAATTTCCAAATCCCACTCTGTAGTCTTCCCATCCCAAGTAGAAGTCAACTGATCCATCCATTCGTCTTTGAAAGACTGTCCATCCACCGCCTTCAGTTGTCATGTCGCACAGCACTTGAATGGCTTCTCCGTTGTCAGGGTAAACCAAGTACACTCCATCAGTCGTGGAACCCTTTAAGTAAAGGTCTTGACAATGTCTTGGGCATTCTGAATTGGAAAAACATTGTTTGAGGCCTTAAGTAATAAAGGGTAGGGATAGTTAAGGCGAGATGGCTCGTTTCACGAAAATCTGCTTCAGAGTTTGCAACGGGAAAGATCATTGCTTGAATCCGTTGATCAAACTGAAGAAAACTACAGATGAAATGCAGTTTGACTACTAGTAAGTCAATTACCACGTTAAACAGCTTGAAAACCTGACATTTCGAACAATATAAAGCCAACCGTCGGAGGGTAGCTTGAGTATCAGGCCCTCCCTAGGGGTGAGAATAGAGGAGATTTTTGTTTTTATCCCTTCGCTGTCTCCACTGGTCTCTTCTCCCAGCTCTTTCCCCTTTTTCCTAGAAACACCTGCTGATACTTATGCTAGTCAAAGCGAACGATTCTCTCTGACTATGGGCTATTGCTGGTTGAAACATCAGGTTTTGAAACTCTTTTCGACTCTCTTTCCGCACGTTTCAAACCGTGGTACCACAGCTGGCCCTACGTGCCTGAGTCGACTACCACCAATCCATGTTTAAAAATATAAATGTTTTGAACTTCCAACTTTCTTGGTTGTTTCAAACTTGAAAGGCCGCTGCTTCTTTCCTGTCCATATTTCAAAAATCTTTCGATACGACAATGTCTGTGCATATAAGAGATCATAACAATTTCTGGCGATGCCTCAGAACGGTACCAACTGTTTTCTTTCCAAAACGAATTAGAAATAAAGTTTGAAATGTGTCTAGCTCACCGCAGCTTGAATAAAAAAAACCCAGTAGGATGACCGCACTGTTTTCTTCACTCGATGGCTTACGCCATTTCACATCTTGCGCAATTTCTTCAAATGTTAACCGGCAGCCGCCGTGAACTTTCGCGCGCAACTTGAAGGAATTACGTCACACTAATCCTGGTGTCCAGTGAGGCCTTTTTTCTCATCAGTTCGGTTTTCTTACTCCAAAGAAGATATAGACTTAAATTACACGAACTATTATGTATTAAAAAAATGTACATCACTGCTTTAGTTAACCATTTACATCATGGGCTAAGCCAAATAAATAAATAAATAAATGACTAAATAAATATGATGAAGGTGATATGTAAATAAATAAATAAATAATTAAACGAAGATGACGATGATTATATGACGGGGTTTTATAACAATAAATCGATAACATTGATCCCGTTAAACTGAGTTCTGGAAACATTTTTGCCTTAGTACTGACAGAAACTTTCTCGCTCCTCAGAGATTATCATTTGAGTTAAGGTCTTTAAGGGTAAACAACAGTTTGCGAAACAAGAATCATGATATGTCACGATTGATTTTGTGGGGCGGCAGGGGGCGAAGCATTAATTTATTTTTTGGTTTGTTTACCAACCGATACATTTGCAGGAATGCTTAGCGTCATCTTCATAATCAGGAATACACACTTCATCGTTTATACACGGTGATTCTCTTTCACAGATACTCTGAAAAATAAATAGTTACATATTTATTGGCAAGTACTCGATTATAACAATATTGCGCACAAGAAAAATTCTTTTTTATGTGAATAGGCAATAACGAATCGAAAATATAAATATGCGATAATGTAATATGCTACCTTAAAGAGAGCTTTATGACGCCTCGCAATAATTCACTGTTTTTCGTTTCATATTACAAGAATTTGCTTCACTACCAGCATACCTTATTAAAATTAGATCTAAATCCGAAATAAATTATTAAACATTGAATTTAGCTTCTCGGTTATTTTTACCTCTAATCCTCTGTAGATGCCCCCAACTTGTCTTGTAAAATTCTGATACCCAACAAATCTATCAGAGTCACTGAGCTCACAGATTAATACATCCATGCCTGTAATCGGAATTAAGTTGTACGATAAACAGCGGTTATCTGCCACACATTCAATTTGGCAAGACATTTCTGATGACACATTCAGCTGTTTGATAGTGCTTCCATTGAGTCTTCCCCCGACAATTTTTTCTGCGTAATTACGCAATTTGAAGTCTGGAAACGATAGGAAATTTTTTGAACCGTTTAGGATGTTTACCAGGGAAATTAACGAAGTGAAAAACGAAATGCGTGTCATTTTGTGTCTCCCTCGATGAAGAGTCCGCGGTAAAATAGCTTCAGTCAGTCTTTGAATTGAATTGAATTTCATTATGACACAAGCTATTCTGAGCATAAAATAGGTCTCTCAGTATAATGTGGAGATCAGTTTATGCTAATACCATGACAACTGTTTACGTTTACGAATTAAGAAAACCGCAATTTCATGAATACAAAAAAAAGGAACCCATAATTTGCTTAAAATTGTTCCCTGCACATTTCTTAAACATTAAAATCGGGAGCTTCAAACCTCTCCCAGATATATTATTAGAACTCCGTTTTGCAAGATTAATAAAAAAAGGCTCGAAGACAAATGTTAATCAATGATAATAACCCTGCTGGAGATTATAGAGAGGCTAGCAGGTGTATATTTTCGTCATTGAAGGCTCAGTAAGAATTATTATTCCCCCTGGCTATTAAAAACAGGAAATTTGGTCTAGGCCTGAACTCTGTTCTTTTAAATCTTCGAGTTCGACACTTTTTAGACGTGGCTCATTTTGAATGAGTGAAAAAACAAAATGGCTGAGATTCGAGAGAGTACTGAAAGATGACGCATATATATATATATAAGGTGTAATTTACCCATTGCCAAATATTGTTTTCTTTTACAGTCAGGTGTGTGAATTTCTCCTGTTTAAAGACTTTTTGCACTTAAATGAATGTTTTTATTTATATATTTCTGGGGGGTTCAAAATTTTTGCAAAAAGATATATGTATATATATATAAACTTAGTAAGAAGAAATCTGGAAAACGCTTTCGACTACCCACTACAACATAGAAATTGACCTTGGTGAAATAAGATCCGCCGATTTGCAAGGCTTCATCCGAGGAGAATGGAACTGGCCAATATCCTGTCTGAATGACTCAGAATCCCAGGAAAGGAGACTAGGACGTGAACCTCCCGTACAAATAACACGTTTCATTTGAAGTAAGACACGACTTAGCTATGACACGTCCTACAGTAAGAAGAGCTTGTAACTCCCGTCCATAGCTAATACGCTTCTTCGCTGAGACGAAGAAAAACTCGAATATCAAACAACCTTGGCGTCAATTAACGGTGCGCCATTGTTTACGATTTTCCTTGCAGGGGCAGTCGTCTGTGCAGCATATAAGCTTAGCAAATAAATTGATAAAAACCCCTTCTTACCCCCATAAACTCCGTCATTTTTGAAAACATCTTGTCAAGTCCCGCAAAAAAATCGGCTTTTTGTAGCTAAGCCAGAGCGTTCCCTGTGTTTTTCAGCCCTGTTTCGACATGTTTCATCCTCAATGAAGTCCTGCTCATAACCAACTGTCTGTCAATCTTCTTCTGATTTTCACACCTTTTGTTCAGTGTGTAGTTCAAAAATAACGTTGTTTTCTTATTTTTAGACCAAACTAAAGCCCGAAGGACCGGAAAAATTTTTTTTGGACAACCCGAAACAACAGCTAAAAGGAGGCACACGGTTTGAACTAATCACGGAAAAGAGGCTTCTGATTTTCTAAACAGTCATTGATGCACGGTTCAATTAGACTTGTTACTACCTCTTGGGCAACCACAGTGACAAGTCCAGCCCCAGGGGCCCGGGGGTGGCAAGTTGTTTGACGCGGTCATGTCCCGGACTTTCGGGGGTAGGTGGCGGGAAAATCGAAAATAATTTCTCTTTGTTTTTGTGAAGAACATCATTTCTCGCGCGGTTGACCAGATGGTGGCGGACTCCGTAGCTGTTTGGTTAGTAGCAGAAAACACCGATTCTTGACTTAAAAGTTATTCTCTTAATGAAATAACCGACATTGTAATTTTTGGAGTCCGCTCTGAAAACTCAGTCCGTAAAAATGTAACTTCAAACGAAAGATAATATAATTATAGATTTAGCCAAGGATAAAAGCGAACCTCCCGTTAATAAATTCGTAATTTAAATCAAACAATAAACTTGTAATCCACAGGGCACATTTATGTGACTTCTGAGGCAAAGGCTAAGTGATTTTTGAGAAAAATAATTTGACAGTCGAAGAGTGAGACAAATTTTACATCGAGTTAATAGTCTTATTTGTACACCCAAAAATAGCAATCATGTTCGATCACAGTAGATTAGGCCTGAAAAAACAAATAGACCTATTCGTGTATTGTATTTAAGTCGCCCACCACCTTAATTCCTCGCGAAGCGCCGAGCCGCGAGATTTATAATCTCGTCGCGCGCGAAGGGCGCATCTATCAAACAAGCACCGCACGGCCAGCGTGATTTCCTGTTGGCAATAAATCTATCGAGTTTGGTTGGTGTCCGCCTTGACATCATCCAGAGTAGTGACGCCAAAGTGCATTACGGATTTCCAGGCAACCGATTACCATCGATGACAAAGCTCCGGGTTTTCTTCATATGAAGAGGTGAATTATAATAACGTTCACGGTCGGTGAATCACCACCCCAATATCTCAGGCAAATAAAAGACAACAGCAAACTCAACAACAGTGGATTCAACAAGTGGCTGGAAATCCTCGCTGGGAAAGATTTACAAGCAAAACTCCCCAAGACCGAGAAGGTCGACTTTAAATTCAGGGCAAGCAACGGCACAGCGAAGGCAAACGCTGTCAACTTAAGACAGAGGATGTAAAGAGGCAGCAACAAAATACTACAATTACACTGCAAACAGAGCCAACGAAGAGAGGGAACACCGACTGCCGACGTTTCAGTAAAGTGCGGTCAATAGAATTCGCAACGAAGCCGACGAGGAATCATCGAGAGGCAAGTTTACAGTCAAAATTTTCTTCTTCGATGCAACGATAGGCAGCAAGAATTACACCATCTGTAAAATCGACATGAGGAGTATCTTTCAAACGGACTGAGGACAGAAAATCAGCCTTTTCACCGTTTTACAGTAAGCTTTATTTTACAATGAACAGTTTAGAACACCGATAACGTGTGACATGTAGGGAAGCGTTACATTTGTAAACAAAATCCTTACTGAACAAAATTTTTCGCTTAAGTCTACAATTTTCAATCAATTTCCTTCACAAGTAAAATATATATGTGTGTATAGCAGCCTTGTCCATAAACACCGCTGTGTCTTTTAAGTCAAATACAACGAAAATTTATTATTGCTGGCCTCCTATATTTTCGTTCCTATTATTCCAAAAGACCATCTGTATTTCGGATATCCTCAGAATATTAGTGTATGACATGGCTGCCATGCCAGGAACGTTCCTTTCGGTGTTAGGGAAAATTTAAGAAGTCAGTGGGAACTTTACGAACCAGAACGCGACGCAGCCTGAAACGTCACCGGAAGTAATTTGCACACAAAGTGCTTCACTGCGCATGCTTGGCGCTAAACTGCTACGCGTCTTCTTCACGTTCAGAACACGAGGTTGGCACTTGCAGCGTTTCCAGAAAACGTGAGTAGTTTCTACTGAATTTGACCTAGAATTAAATTTTCTTTTGCTGCCTTATAGGCAAAACTGTTTTTCTAAGTCCATGAAAATGTTATTTATTGTAAAAAAATACCAAACAAACATTTTAATTTGCCTTTTACTGCAGGTCAATTGGTTACCGCTATGATGAATGGACAACACGCAGACCCGCCGAGTTCGATACCAAAGTCGAAAACTGGCAAGTAAGTCCAATTTAGTTTATTAGAAGATTCAATTTTCTGTCCTGCTTAACTATAAAATAAAAGTGAGTGTAAACTTTATATTTATGTTCTTCATTGAAAACAAACTAAAACAGACTGTTCTTTTTTTCACGCAGTTATGTGATGTACTGGACAAGCGAGCACGATGTCCTGTTATGCAGAGAGGTTGTTTCCGAGAATCCGTTCAAAACAAGAAAGGGTTCGTCGCAAAGAAGCGAAATTTGGGATAGAATAGCCAACACTTTGAATACCTGTCCCAAGCCTGTCTTTTCTGTGGATAAAAGGTCCGTAAGGGATCATGTGGGTATTCTAATTAACCGAATCAAAAAGAAATTGAGAGCTGAGGAAAGGAGCTCGGGCATCGCGCCGCCCGAGCCCACAGAACTTGAAAACTTGGTGAAAGAAATTATGGCTCTCGAAGAAACAGCTGATGCAGAAATGAAAGAGGACGACGAAAGTGTGAAAGGAAAGGCTGAAAAAGAGAAGGCAAAGGCCACAGATATGAGACTTAAAGCACTTGAGAAAGTGTCGGAGACGATGAAGAGACATTCAGGCGAAATTGATCAGGAAAAGGTAAAGAAAAGAGAACGGAGAAGCGGCAGCGAGACCATGTTGTTCCTGTCCAAAAAAGCGGAAAAAGACCAGGAACTTAAACTTGAGGAACTCCAGCAAAAAAAAGAGCAACACGATTTGGATGCAAAACGTCTGCAGGCGAGCATTGATCAGCAACGCCAGTTTCAGCAACAACAAAGTGAAATGATGCGTCTAATGCAAGAACAACAACAACAGCAGCAACAGCAACTCTTGGCGTAGCCTGCTAGCAAGCTCTCCTGTTTGGGCGAGTAAAACGGGTCTCGCGAGAACGTGCGAGCGAGCGGCGAAGCCGCGAGGGGCAGAGGAAAGGAGAGCTTGCAACCATCCCTTACAAATTTTCATTTGTACTTCGCCCAGACGAAGGGAAATACCATTGGCTGAAAAATGACGTTCCGGAAATCAAAGTTGATTGATAACAGGCCTAGCTGGCACCCGCTTCGTCTGTGTGTCAAATTTGGTTCTCAGGGGGATCAGATTGGTACGGAGAACTTGTTTCAGCCCTCAATGCAGACGGGCTCGTTAATTCTCGCAAAGAGAATATTGCATGTCGAGGATAAGTCGGAGCGAGTTTGTAGTTCTTGTGGAAGGAAAATGAAAACCCTTCACCAGTTGTATTCATTTGTGTTAAGCGCCTTGTTTAGTTCTGAAAACCGGCAGAGTGAAAGTGAAGAGTGATTAAAGCGCTGTCTTCCAACATCGGTTTCTTCGCCCGATTGAATTCTGCTGGGTAGAAAAATTCAGAAACATGTACTTGACAGTGTAGCTGTGTAGCTTGACCGTAAAGAAGGAAAAGAGAAAGAGTTGGAAGCAACTGGAGTAAACCTTAAGAGCATCAAGTGCAGGAAAACGCTATTCTCCAGTTCCAGACGGACAAATAATTTTTTGTTGGTGATTGCGATGGGGAGTAGTCTTCTACACTGCAGTATGGACGACTTTTCAAAGGTAAACGAAGTAAAGAATCAAAGTAGTGAGTTCTTATCCGAGCAGACACGTTGAAGTTCGATGTCCCCGTGAAAAAAAAAAACATATCAGTGATTAAAAACATTGCCTTGATGCTGTTGCGAAAGCGATTTATAAATAAATAATTCTACGCTACTTGACAGGCGGTTGTCACTTTTGTAATCTGCGGCACGTTTGCGGTGACAGTTTTCACGCTTTGCGGAGTCCCGGGGTTTCCGGGGTGGAAATGAAAATTTGTAAGGGATGGTTGCAAGCTCTCCTTTCTTCGGCCCCTCACTCGCGCGTTCTCGCGAGGCTCGCTTCGCTTGCCCAAATCGCGCGTTCTCGCGAGGCTCGCTTCGCTTGCCCAAATAGGAGAGCTTGCTCGCAGGCTACTCTTGGCGTCACAACAACTGATGTTGAGACAGCAACAAGACCAATCTAAAGCACTGATGAGTTTGTTGGAAAAACTTGTGAACAAACAGCTACCTAATTCACTTAAAATTCACCAGTATTGCTGGTATAGCTGTCGCTTGATTTTGAAAACCAGTTTGTATATTGTATTAACTATTGTCTTTGTTTTGACAAGAGTCACGACCAACGTTTTCTGTCAGCGATCAATGTTTGTATTTCAACAGTGGCACCGCATTTTTCTTGTGCCGAGGAGCCCACCTTTTGTTTTGTCCTATTTGCAGTTATCTCATTGTATGGTGGCATATTAGAAAATATTTTTTGTCAAGGATAGTTGAATAATTGTTTTGAAAATTTGCATTCTCTTGCGTAAACTGCAATAAAAGTTTTTATTTTCAGTCTGTTATAAAAGAAACTAGTGATACATTATGTGTTCGAAAACAGGTTTTAAAAAACTCCCTAGGATATAAAGGGCTGGGGAATCTAGGGGAGGGAGAATGTTGAGGCCAAATATTAAGCTCACATTTATAATTTTAAAATCTCTCTTGTAGGGTTAACAGTACTCTTCACTAAAATCAGTTTAATGATTAAGACACAATCAAGTTGTATTGAAAAAATTGTGAGTTGTATTTCAGTCCCAAGGCTGTGGTCATTAATAACTAAAAAGCAGGATAAGGGGTAGGGGCGGGTGGTCAGTAGGTTGCAGGCATTACAATTTTATGTTATATATTGCATTAGACTCGACATATTTTTCTATGACTTTTCCTCCTTCCCCGTTGTGTTATAATGACCACAGTGTAAATCTATGGCTGTATAACCTTTTGAAAATGAGTAATAATTGCAGAATACATTGGACCTCAGAAACCTAATTGAAATAGTCCTGGATTTGGGGTGGATCTATTCCAAAAAACTTCGAAGTACTTGATTGATAAAGACAACTGTGAGCGTTTCTCAAGAGTGCACACACAATGTACATTTTGCCAACAGGACTTAAGCCGATTTTTAAGTTTTTCTTGAAATCTAGGAATGCAAAGTAGTTAACAATGTCCCTCAAATAGCCATTCTACCGAAACTCTGACTTGGCTCATGGCCTTGTTGAACTGTTGCTCTGCTGGCGTCAAATGAGCGCCTTTGAAGGCCCTTGTAAATGGACACGCAAAGGGTAGGCAGGGTCGCCATAAACGCATAAGGGTGTCCCGTCCGGTGCAAACGAGTGATGCGATAATTCTTGCAGAAGTCCTGAGTCGACTAGCATACCACTATCGTGTCTCCTGCCCTCGACTGGACCAAACAGACTTGCGATAAGCCCATTTGGCGCAACTACGGACTGAAACTTTATCCCATGCACCCTTTTATGTCCGTTATAGAGAATTCTTTGATTTTCATCTGGCTTACATAAGGGTCTCACTGTTCCGTCTATGAAACCCCAACAGTTCTCGAGTGGAGCTCCTTTATCATGTATAGTGGCAGCAAAATGACCGAGACGGTCCCTGGAAAGCCATGGCTGATTTAAATCTGCGAGAAGGTGGCTATATTCATCGAATAAATAGTCCATCATTCGGTTTGTAATCATGCAAAGTTGCGGAACTGGTCTCCCGAATCGAGGAACCATATCTGCAAATCGACACGGGTATGCAAAACGCTTCAACAGCACGCTCAAAGCCTCCGTTCCGTCCACAAGAACGCCATTGGGGCATTTCATTATGTCTGGAATATCAAGAACTTCTCCGAGTAAATATAAATATCGTTCTTGAAAAACTGAAACTCAGCCTTACACTCATCATCTGTCATAGAATCAAGATCGAAGCGACCATACTTCCAATAAGGAAATTCGAGATTTTCAGAAGAATTTAAATCGTACAACAGGGCAAACTCTGTATCATCAATACTTCCATCTTGATAGGCAAACAAGCTTCCCTTGCCTCTCTGAATGTGTAGTAACATGAAGTACTAACTGACCGCTGACCGGCGGTAGCGCTGTCATTCGTGAGAGCTGTAGGAATCTATCGTATTAAAGTATGTTGTGTTGATGCTGTCGTCTCTGTACCTCTCGGACTCAACATGGTGTCAGAAGCGTGACCTTCCTACTAGCCTACAGTTGCGGAGATCAAACCAATCGGAGAAACGGATCAAATACTGAGACGAATTGACCGGTCAAACTTCACGCGGATCCTACGCACGTGGTTCAAAACAAGATGGCGGAAAGCATGCCATTCGACAAACCACCGGAACCGCTGGAGATTTCGATGGGAAATCCTGCTCACTCGTGGGGAAAATGGAAACAAAAATTCGAAATTTACCTCAAGGCAATTGGAGCTTCAAAGAAACCCGATGAAATGAAAGTGGGGCTGCTATTAAACCACATCGGCGAGCCGTGTTTGGAAATTTACTCGAATTTCACCTACCTACCTGAGCGTGACGACCCCGCGGGAGGAGAAGAGAAACTTCCAGCCGAAGACTCCGACAACTACGCGACCGTTGTGGCAAAGTTTGATGAATACTTTCAAAAACGGGACCCTCAACTCATGCTGCGAGAGAAATTTTGGCTTCACCTTAAACGAGAGCCCACACAGACCTTTGATTCGTGGGTGGTGACTGTCAAGGAAAGAGCCGCCGAGTGCAAGTTCCCAACCGATTTCTATGAGCAAGCAGTTAGAGACAAACTTACCTTTTCCTGCAAGGAAGACAATTACAAGCTAAAACTCTATGACGAGGGAGCAGCCCTTTCACTCGAAAAGGCAGTGAAAATCCTGTCTTTGAAGGAAGCAACAAAACGTGAGTTACACGAATCAAAAACCGCAGATTGAGAGCGTCACACCGCGAGGGAACAGGCAAGACCCTCATGCTGGTCAAGATACAGAGCAAAGGAACCAGCGAGACTTCAAGAGGAAGCCCTTCCAAACAAGTGGCCGGAACTGTGGGTATTGCAACCGCCGACACCCCCCTGGAAAGAAGAACTGCCCAGCGGCAGATACACGATGCAGCAAGTGCAACAAAATGGGACATTTCCCTATCATATGCAAGAGTGTACCTCCAAAGACGGTCAACGAAGTTCTTGAAACCGAGGATAACTTTAGCCTCACATTTGTGGGAGGGGTTTACACACCCACTAGTCCAAACACCTCCAAGGCCGAACCAGCAGTAAACTCTCAAACCAGTAGGTCCGACCCTGGATGGCATGTCAACCTCAAGATTCAAGACCAAGAGACGCTGGCATGGTGCATCGACACAGGAGCACAAGTGTCTGTGATGAATGAGCACATCTACAAGTCTTCATATGGAACACTTTCAAAATCTGACAGAGAACTTGTCGGAGCAGGGGATGTTCCTTTAAAGACCCTTGGATGTGCAGTCATGAACCTCCAACAAGACGAAACAGTCATTAAAGAACGAGTGTACGTAGTCAGTGGGGCATCCAAGTTGCTTCTGGGGATACCCGCCATCCGAAGTCTTGGTCTTATCCATGAAATCCCTGGGACATACAGTGTTAAAGCTGTCCATCAAATGCCTGATAGCCATCCACTCCAATCAGGGACCAAGGAGGACATTGTCGAGCAGTACCCATCACTTTTTCAAGGCCTTGGCAAATTGGAGGGTGAGCATACAATTCAATTGAAGGAAGGGGCCACACCCTTTTGTTTGACCACTCCCAGGCGAGTCCCACTGCCACTAATGAAGCAAGTGCAAGAGGAGATCAAGCGTATGGAACAACTGGACGTTATTGAACCAGTGGATGAGCCGACAGAATGGTGTTCACCGATTGTGGTAGTGCCAAAGGCCGATAGCAGGGTGCGGATATGTGTTGATCTTACCAGGCTTAACCAAGCGGTCCGCCGAGAAGTCTATCAAATGCCAACAGTTGAAGAGACCCTGGGAAGCCTAACAGAAGGCTCAGTATTCTCCAAACTTGATGCCAACTCAGGGTTTCATCAGATAGTCCTAAACCCAGAAAGTGCCAAGCTAACTACCTTTATCACGCCCTTCGGCCGTTACATGTTCAACCGTCTTCCCTTCGGCATATCCTCAGCCCCAGAACATTTCCAAAAGAGGATGGACAAAGAACTCTCTGGAATAGAAGGGGTCAAGTGCCGCATGGATGATATTCTAATCATCGGGAAAGACCAAGCAGAACATGACAAACGACTTAAGCAAGTCCTTGACAGGCTAGTCGAGAGGAAACTAACACTCAACCTTGAGAAGTGTTTATTTTCTCAATCCAGGTTGCAATACTTGGGCCAAATCATTGACAGTGATGGAATCAGGAAAGACCCCTCCAAGATCAAAGCCATCACCGACATGGCAGAACCCCAGAACATTGCAGACCTGAGACGTTTCCTGGGTTTGGTCAACCACCTTATGAAGTTTTGCCCAAATCTGGCTGAGAAGACGAAACCCTTAAGAGACTTGCTCAAGAAGGAGAGCGCGTGGGTGTGGGGCACAGCCCAACAAGAAGCCTTCTGACAGCTGAAAGTAGACATGGCATCCGACCAAGTTCCTGCACTGTACGATCCAGAGAAGGAGACCGTGGTCTCATCTGATGCCAGCAGTTTTGGACTTGGTGCGGTCCTCGTGCAGAAGCGGCCGTCCGGTGAAATGAGGCCAGTGGCCTATGCTAGCAGATCAATGACCGAGACAGAGCGTCGTTATGCCCAGATCGAAAAAGAGGCCTTGGCTATCACATGGGCACTTGAACACTGGGCTGAATTCTTGATCGGAATGAGATTTAACGTGGAAACCGATCACAAGCCACTGATTCTATTGTTTTCCACAAAGCTGATTGACGAGCTACCAGTACGAATACAACGCTTCAGGATGAGACTCATGAGATTTGACTTTGCCATCGCACATGTTCCTGGTAAACTCTTGTACACAGCTGATTCATTGTCTCGATCCCCCCAGGAGGGTAAAGCCCAGGAGCCTAAGTCATGGAACGACCTACATGACGAAGTCGAGTGCTATGTGAATGCTGTATTGGTAACCCTTCCTGCCTCCGACCGGCGGTTAGATGAGATACGTTCTGAGTTGAAGAGTGATGACACACTTAAAACTGTGATGCAGTATGTGCAGAATGGATGGCCTGAAGAGAAACGAAGAGTCCACGGGCCAATAGCTAAATACTGGAGTGAACGTGGCAACATCTCCCTCCACGACGGCCTGCTCCTGAGAGGACGGCGAATCATTATTCCTTTGAGGCTGAGGGCAGATGTATTAAGGCGTCTTCATGATGGTCGTCAAGGAATTACCAAAACACGTGCAAATGCGGCCTCCTCAGTGTGGTGGCCTGGAATCTCCCAAGACATCACAAGAGTCG